CCCCAAAACCCCAAAACCCCAAAACCCCAAAACCCCAAAACCCCAAAACCCCTTAATAAATATTATTAATTGAATCAACTTCCTTTGATAATTTGTGATTACATCTTCTGGTGAGCCCTTCAGCAAAATTTGGTTGATACCATTTAGGCAGTTCTTAGCTAGTGATAAAATAAAGTCTAGGTAATATGAACACCATAAACAGTATTACTTACTGGTGAGGACAAGATAAGAGAATACTTCACCAGTATTTCTTAGACTATTCTTTGTCATTTTCTGAACTTTTAGTAAAAAATTCGAAATAATAATGATTCATGAGTCCTGAAGGGTCTTTCAAGAATCAAAATTTCATCTATCGGGCTCGAAGTCAAAGGAAACTTATGTCTAATTTGGAAGCGACTTTTAATTTACTTACCAGTAGACGACTTCGCTAAAAGTCATCTTAGAGGTTAGCAGAAGAGGCACTATTTATTCCTTTTAGGTTTCGTTGTTATACCAAAGTTTATTTGGGTATCGTTAAATAACAATTTATTCTCATCGGCAAAAATTCCTAAAGAGGAGCAGAAAGACTTCTTTTGAGCACACTAGTTTTCTGGATGATTTCCCACTGGGATCCAAGCAAAGGTAGACTAATCTATCGTAATACTATTTATACGGTTTGATACTTGTCAGCTAATGTGAATCTGGAAATAGGACTTCTAAAAGCTAATTGCTTTAATAATATTTCATGAAATGGTTCATTCTGACCGAGTTTTTATGAAGTTAGGTGAACTCCCATCTATCCAAGGCTGTAACCCTCTAGGTTATTTTTAAAGTACCCTCCCAGAGTTGGTGAAACCAAGAGAACAATTAAGGTAATATTGTTATTAGAAAACATTTAGTAAAATGGCAAGACAGCTCACTAATAGGTTTACATGAGCTATCACCATCTGGATTTTCCTTAGAAAGAACCAGATGGGCCGGAAATAAGTTTAGAGTTTACTCTTGCCACAGGTCTGAAGATAGACCCTGAAGGCTTAATATAGTTGACTCTATTCAGATCTTGCCTCTTTGAATTAAAAGATCTTGAAAAATTCATTTCTGAAACTTCCAAGTTGCTCTTCCTCTGTCCTAGCATGCATGGAGCAGGAGCTGAACATCTTGGCATTCAAAATTGAGAGTCTCTGATGATCGGATTAGATGGTCTTGAGAAACCAGAAGATCTATTGACTGAGGATGCATTAGATGAGTCATCCCCGAACAGTTCGGAAAGTTCATCAATTGCTTCGACTTGAGATTCAAAGAAATCTTCTTCACTGTCAACATCCGTTGAACCTGGAAATGAATCGCCACACTCTTCTTTGTTTTGGTTTAGCTCAATTTGGTTTGAGCCACTCTTCCTTGAAAGAGGTCTATCATTAGATGCAATCCAATCGCTGTCATGTGCGACTTCAAAGAGTCCTGAAAACTCGTTGGAACTATCAAGTTCATCCTCTCTAGGACAGTAGAGAGAGTTAGAAGGTTGCCTCCTCTCTTCATAAGAATAGGAGGATAAAAATCTTTCACAGTTTTTATTGTAACTCATAATGATATCTAGTAGTCGAATTAAAATAGGTTCCCTTTTGGAAATTATTATTATTTCTATATTAAACTCCTTAAAAGGGGTTTTGGGGTTTTGGGGTTTTGGGGTTTTGGGGTTTTGGGG